GGAGGGACCCTGTGTCCCCTGCATCGGCAGGCGGACTCTCAACCACTGTGCCACCAGGGAAGCCCCTCAAATATACTTTATAAGCAAAATGAGAGCTTTTGTTTACATAGTTTTTGGATTTTGCTATTCCTAATTTTATTCTAAAACTCAATTTTACCCCAAACCATAATTACCATATTAACTTTGTAATGCACAGTTGTATGCAATTCAGCAAGCAGCAGTACACCATCAGGTTCTATTCACCCAGAGCTTAGGAAAAACAGGATTGGTCACACCCATTTAAAAACAAATACGCTATTTGCCAATGTGTAGTTTCAATCTAAGTTCTGACAATGAAATATATGGACATATATCTATATATCTCATCTTGATTTTCAAAGGTAGGCAAAGAGAGTTCTTCACAGCTTAGCTTTGCCTGGCTGAAGCTGAAGATTTTGTAACTTCATAGCCAGACCCATGTTGCCAGTGATTTTCAATTTACCTTGAAAGAAGGTCGACTGAGGATTCATTTTACCAGTCATCAAAGCCAGTAAGTCCGAGTCAGCCATGGTAATTGTGCAGTCGCCCTTCTTATCTGAGTTAGGGAGCACTGATCCTTTGCCATTCTTCACGTCCACCACCCAGGTGGCTTCTTTACCTCCAGGGCCATCCTTCACCTTGTAGGCAAAAATACCACCGATTTTCTTCACAAACTGCTCCCCTTCCTCTTCAAGCTTCTTCTCAATCTCCTTAAATACAAGATTTGCCTTAAATCCATCAACTGCAGAGCTGGTTGGAGCAGCCTCAATTTGATGAGTTCTAAAAGAACCAGCAGCTTCAGGAAAACCCACCTTGTACAGCATGACAACTACTGCTCCCCCGATGCCTAAATTATGCTGCACAGCAACCTCTGCACCAGGAACTTGCCTTTTTCTGACTTCCTAAATATTACATCATTAACTCAAGAAATCACTGTCCTCGCAGAAAGAAAAAACAGGAATCAAGTATTAATTTCATTTCAAAAATCAAATTCTGTAACTGATGTATATGTATGTATGGTTTGTGTGACTGTACATGTGTTATGTGTGTATTTATTTGCAACTTTCAATGCTATCTTCTTTAATCCTCATACTCCTCCCAAAGGTGGCCACTTTGAAATATTCTAGCAGTTTCTTCTGAAATTTAAATTTCATATTTCTAAATAATAACTAGGGCTTCCCTGGTAGTGCAGTGGTTAAAGAATCCGCCTGCCAATGCAGGGGACACAGGTTCGAGCCCTGGTCCGGGAAGATCCCACATGCCGTGGAGCAACTAAGCCCGTGCGCCACAGCTACTGAGCCTGCACTCTAGAGCCCGCGAGCCACAACTACTGAGCCCGCGTGCCTAGAGCCCATGTTCTGCAACAAGAGAAGCCACCGCAATGAGAAGCCCTCGCACTGCAATGAAGAGTAGCCCCCACTCGCCACAACTAGAGAAAGCCTGCACACAGCAATGAAGATTCAATGCAGCCAGAAATAAAAAAAGAAATAAAATAAATTTATTTTAAAAATTACTACTTTTATTTCCTGATTTATCCATTTTTAGACAATGTATAATGACTTTCTGATAAGTGAGATGAGGGCTTACATCTCAACCACCACCCCATACAAAATAAGTACCCACAAACACACACACACACACACACACACACACTTCTCACTCAATTTTCCACAATATATTTATATCACAATTTTTTATTATATCACTATTCATTGTTTATATCATTATGACTATGTAAATACTGTACAAGTAAGACAACTATGATTATGTTGACTCTTTCGTACATTCTTGGTCTTTTAACATGTATTTCAATTCCTAATTTTTAGATGCCAATTTAGAATTATTGCAAATGCTCAGGCAGATGTTTCAAACTCTTAGTAATTAATTTTCTAATTACTGGGAAGCCTCAATTTATCATTTCTCTTTTGTTCTTGGTGTCTCCTCTCCCATCTGCTTTATCCACCTAGTCCATTTTGAAATAGATGTTTTCTAAATCTTGTGCCCAGCACCCTCTCTGAAACCTCCATTTTCCTACATGAGATCTCCTGACTCTTCAGGAATAACTCTCATTTGTAATTAATTTATCATCATTTCAATGGGGTTCTGACCCAGAAAAACATAATTTGCTTAAAGATTTTTTTTTTTAATTTTTAAAAAAACTGTTCATAAAAGTTAAAACTATTGCCATGAAAGGAAATTCTTAGGGCAAACACCATTTTTCTGGACTCAGACTTCTGGAATAATAAAATTCCTTTTGAAGTGTAACATAAGTACAAAAAAAGAAAATTACAGGCCAATATTCCTGATGAACATAGACGCAAAAATTCTCAACACAATGCTAGCAAACTGAATCCAAGAGCACATTACAAGGATCACACACTGGGCTTCCCTGGTGGCGCAGTGGTTAAGAGTCCGCCTGCCAATGCAGGGGACACGGGTTCGAGCCCTGGTCCAGGAAGATCCCACATGCTGCGGAGAAACTAAGCCATACGCCACGACTACTGAGCCTGCGCTCTAGAGCTGGTGAGCCACAGCTGCTGGGCCCGTGAGCCACAACTGCTGAAGCCCATGTGCCTGGAGCCTGTGCTCTGCAGCAAGAGAGGCCACCGCAGTGAGAGGCCCACGCACCACATTGAAGAGTAGCCCCCGCTCGCCTCAACTTGAGAGAGCCCACGCACAGCAGCGAAGACCCAACAGAGCCAAAAATAAATAAATAAAATAAATAAATTTTTTTAAAAAAATTTTAAAAAAAAGAAGGATCACACACCATGATTAAGCCGGATTTATCCTTGAGATATATGGGTGGTTCAAAATATGCAAAACAATAAATATGATGTACCACATTAATAGAATAAAGGATAAAAATCATACTGTCCTCTCAATAGATGGAGAAAAAACATTGGACAAAATTTAACATCCTTTCATGATAAAAACTCCTCCCAACAAATTATGTATAGAAGGAATGTATCTCAACAAAATAAAGGAATGTATCTCAACATATATGACAAGCCCAGGGCTAACATACTCAACGGTGAGGGGAGTGACATCAGCATTACAGCAGTGAGACACTCCCTTTGTCCCCACCTTCAATCTACAACCAGTTAAACGTCCATAACTCAACAAAGGGAACTCTGCCCAACACATGAGGATGCCAGAGAATTCCACACATCTCTACATTTTAAGGTGGGTGGATTGGAACACATAGAGGAGGCAGAATGGAGGGAACAGGTGAGGCAATGCCTGAGATCCTGGCACCCAGTCATGGCATCTAAGCCCACAGCCCCAGAGAATCCAGGAGTAGCGGGGGGACATTGCACACAATTCTGACCTCCCAGTCACAACAGCACCCACAGCCACAGGGAACTCAGAAGTGGCAGCAGGACCTGTGACTCTGTCCCTTCAGCTGTGGAAGCACCTGCAACTCTGGACCCCCACCCTCCCGCCCACAGCAGCAGCACCCATGAACCTGAAAACCCCTAATGCAGCAGAGGTGACCACAGCTCCAACTGCCCTCCAACTCCCACCCTCCCACCTCGGCAGTGAAGCCCACAGCCCAGATGACCCTGGACAAGGTGTCCAGACGACCCTGGACAAGGTGCCTGCCGTTCTGGTGCCCCAGGCGGCAGTGTCAGCAATAGCAGTGACACCAGCAACAGCAAAAGGCACCAGTGACAATGAGGCATCAGTAGCGACAATGAGGGCACCGAACAACACCTCTGGCAAAGGCAGTGGGGTGGAAAGTGCCAATTCTCAAATATAGCCAGAGGCAGCTGAAGTAAGAGAAACCAAAAACCTGTGCTATAGTGTCATCTACTAAAAACAAACAAACAAAAAGGCCTCCAATTACAAACCTGTTGAATTGTTAGAAACAAGTTTAAAAGAAAGACGAAGCACCTTTACCTAATGAAGAAAGGTGTCTGCTACTTCAAATGCACCAGCAGAAGAACAACTCATCAAGCACCATCGTAACAACAGCATAAAAATTCTCCAGAAGCCAAACTGAAAATCACAGAATACTGAGATCTAATTGATAGACAATTCAAGAGAGCTGTCATGAAGAAACTCAAACTCAACATGATACAGTAAAACTCAGACAGGCAGTTCAATGAGCTAAGGAATGAAATTAATGAATAGAAAGAATACCTTACCAAAGAGACTGAAACATTAAAAAAAAAATCTGGAGCTGAAGCATGCAATAAATGAGATGAAGAACACATTATAAAGCAGGCGTCCCCAATCCCTGGGCCACCTATTAGGAATCAGGCCACACGACAGGAAGTGAGTGGTGGGCCAGTGAGCGAAGCTTCATCTGCCAATCCCCATCGCTCCCCATCACTCACATGACTGCCTGAACCATCACCCACCGCCCCCGTTCGTGGAAAAACTGTCTTCCACGAAACCCGTCCCTGATGCCAAAAAGGTTGGGGACCACTGTTATAAAGCATTGGAAATAGGGCACCCCATGGAAGAGAGAATTAGGGAGCCCAAAGATAGAAATCTAGACATGATTCTGGTTGAAGAGGAAAGAAAAATAAGGTGCTAAAAAAAATTGAAGAAATTCTAAAAGAACTATTGGAATCCATTAGGAAGGACAACATAAGGATAATGGGTATCCCACAAGGAGAAGAAAGGGAGAAGGGAACAGAGTGTTCATTTAAAGAAATAATAACTGAGAACTTCCTAAACCTGGGAAAGGAACTGGATATATAAGTGCATGAAGCTAAAAGAACACCTAATTACCTCAAGGTAAAAAGACCTTCTCCAAGACACATTATATTAAAACTGCCAAAAGTCAATGACAAAGAAATCCCCATATGCTGTTGGTGGAAACAACATAAACTGGTTCAGCCACTATGGAAAAGAGTATGGAGATTTCTAATGAAATTAAGAATAGAACTACTATAGGATCCAGCTGTTTCATTTCTGGGTATTTATACAAAAAATATGAAAACACTAATTTAAAAAGACATATGCACCCCTATGTTCACTGCAGCATTAAAATAGCCAAGATATGGAAACAACCTATGTGGCCATAAACAGATGAATGGATAAAGGTGATGTGGTATATATACAATGCAATACTACTCAGTGAAAGAGAGAGAGAGAGAGAGAGAGAGAAAGAAAAAGAAAGAAAGGAAGGAAGGAAGGAAGGAAGGAAGGAAGGAAGGAAGTGGGGAGGGAGGGAGGGAGAAAGGAAGGAAAGAAAGAAATCTTGCCATTTGCAACATGGGTAGACCTTGAGGGTATTATGCTAAGTGAAATGAGCCAGTCAGAGAAAGACAAATACTGTATGGTTCCATTCACATGTGGAATATACAAACAAACAAACAAAACAAAAACAAAAACATAGATACACAGAACAGAGTAGTGGTTACCAGAAGGGAAGCAGAGTGAAGGGAGGGCAAGATGGGTAAAGGGAATCAACTGTATGGTGAATGGATGGAAACTAAACTTTTGGTGGTGAGCACACTGCAGTGTATACAAAATGTGATGTTGTACACATGGAACATATATAATGTTATAAACCAATGTTACCTCAATAAAGCATTTAATATTAAAATAAATAAATAAGTAAAGGGAAGAGTGGATGGTTAACCAAAAAAAAGGTAAAATGCTATAAGCTATTCTTTTTTTTAAGAGGTAAAATATATTAGCTGTATAATTGTATTTATTTTAAACCATTTATAATTTTTAATGAATATTGGAGACCAAATGAAATGTATAGCATGATGTTTTTAATCCAGTGTGAGTGGGAAACAAATAGTACATGAAATTATGACCCCACCATTTTGTTCCTGCTCTTTTGAGCCAGAACCTTTTAACTCTCAGTTTATTAAGGAATATTTTAACCCAATTATACCAACATTGATGGATTTTTATCAAAAGGTGTTTTCTGATATTATTCCAATTAAGCAAATATAATTCTTTGCTTAATATTACTATAAGCTATTCTTCTAAGATCAGGAACCAGAAAAGGATGCCTACTCTCCCCACTTTTATTTAACATAGTACTAGAAGTCCTAGCCAAAGCATTAGACAAGAAAAATAAAGGCATCCATTTTGTAAAGGAAGAAGTTAAATTGTCTCTATTTACAATGATAGGATCTTACATACAGAAAATCCTAAAGACTACACCGAAAACTGTTAGAATTAATAAACAAATTCAGTAAAATAGCAAAATACAACTCAGTGTATAGAAATCAGTTGTTTCTATATACTAACAATGAACTGAGAGAGAAATGATAAAAATAATCCACTTATAAAACCATCAGGGGCTTCCCTGGTGGCGCAGTGGTTGAGAGTCCGCCTGCCGATGCGGTGGACATGGGTTTGTGCCCCGGTCCGGGAGGATCCCACGTGCTGCAGAGCAGCTAGACCCGTGAGCCATGGCCGCTGAGCCTGCGCGTCCGGAGCCTGTGCTCCGCAACAGGAGAGGCCACAACAGTGAGAGGCCCGTGTGCCGCAAAACAAAACAACACTAAAATCCTAAAGTTTGTGAATGTTCTTCCTTAACATACACACACACACACACACACACACACACACACATAAAATAATAAAATGGCAGGTATGATCTTTAAAAAAAAAAAAACAAAAAAAAACATCAAAAAGGGGCTTCCCTGATGGCGCAGTGGTTGAGAGTCCGCCTGCCGATGCGGCGGACATGGGTTCGTGCCCCGGTCCGGGAGGATCCCACGTGCCGCGGAGCGGCTGGGCCCATGAGCCATGGCCGCTGAGCCTGCGCGTCCAGAGCCTGTGCTCCGCAGCGGGAGAGGCCATAGCAGTGAGAGGCCCGTGTACCGCAAAAAAAAAAAAAAAAAAAAAAAAACCATCAAAAAGAATAGAACACTTAGTAATAAATCTGACTAAAGAGGTGAAAGATCTGTACATCAGAAACTATAAAACACTGATTAAAAAGAATTGAAGAGAACACAAATAAAAAGATATCCTGCAGTCATGGATTAGAAGAATGAATATTCTCTAAATGTCCACATTACCTAAAGCAATCTACTGATTCAATGTAATCCTTATCAAAATTCTAATGACATTTTCACAGAAATAGAAAAAGGAATCTTAAAATTCATATGGAACCACAAAAAAACCTTGAACAAACCAAACAATCTTGAGAAAGAAAAACAAAGCTGGAGGCACCACACTTTGATTTTAAACTATATTACAAAGATACAGTAATAAAAACAGTAGAATACTGGCATAAAAACAGACACATAGATCAATGGAACATAATGAATACAGCAGAAATACAGATGGTCCTCAACTTATGACAGTACCATTTACAGTTTTTTCCACTTTACAATGGTAGAAAAGCCATATGCATTGAGTAGAAACTGTACTTGGAATTTTGAATTTTGGTCCTTTCTTAGACTAGCAATATGCAGTATGATACTCTCTCATAATGCTGGGTGGCAGCAGCAAGCCACAGCTCCCAGTCAGCCATGCAATCATGAGGATAAACAACCAATACATTTACAACCACATTCTGTACCCATACAACTATTCTGTTTCTCACTTTCAGTACAGTATTCAATAAATTACATGAGATATTCAATGTTTATAATAAAATAAACTTTGTGGCAGGTGATTTTGCCCAACTATAGACTAATGTATGTGTTCTGAGCATGTTTAAGGTAGGCTGAACTAAACTATGCTATTTAGTAGGTTAGATGTATTAAGCACATTTTTGACATATAACATTTTCAACTTAAAATGGGTTCACTGGAATGTAACCCCATTGTAAGTTGAGAAAGATCTGTAAATCCAGGTATCTACAGTCACTCTCTTTGACAAGGGTGCCAAGAATACACAGTGGGAAAATGATAGTCTCTTCAATAAATGGTGCTGGGAAAACTGGATATTCTCATACAAAAGAATATAACTTGATCCTTATCTTACACCATTCATAAAAATTAATTCAAAATGGTTTAAAGACTTAAATGTAAGACCTCAAATCATAAAGCTCCTAGTAAAAAACATAGGGGAAAAGTTCCTTGACACGGTCTTGGCAATAATTTTTTTTTTTTTTTTTTTTTTCCTTGCGTTATGCGGGCCTCTCACTGTTGTGGCCTCTCCCATTTGCGGAGCACAGGCTCCGGACGCGCAGGCTCAGTGGCCATGGCTCACGGGCCCAGCCGCTCCGCGGCATGTGGGATCTTCCCGAAACGGGGCACGAACCCGCGTCTCCTGCATCGGCAGGCGGACTCTCAAGCACTGCGCCACCAGGGAAGCCCAATAATTTTTGATATGACACCAAAAAACACACAGGCAATAAAAGCAAAAATAAACAAGTAAGACTACATCAGTATAAAAAAGCTTCTACACAGGAAAAGGAACAATCAACAAAATGAAAAGGCAACCTACAGAATGGGAGAAAATATTTGTGAAATACATCTGACAAGGTGTTAATATCCAAATTATATAAGGAACTCAAACAACTCAATAGCTAATAATAATAACAGTAATAATAACCCAATTAAAATGGGTAAAAGACCTGAATAAACATTTCTCCAAAGAAGATGTACAAATGGCCAACAGGTATACGAAAAGGTACTCGACATCAGGGAAATGAGATATCACCATACACCTGTTAGTATGGCTATTACCAAAAAGACAAGAGATAACAAGTATTAGTGAGGATGTGGCAAAAAGGAAACCCTTATACACTGTTGATGGAAATGTAAACTGGTATAGCCATCATGGAAAACAGCATAAAAGTTCCTCAAAAAATCAAAAACAGAACTACCATATGATCCAAAAATTTCACTTCTGGGTATATATCCAAAGGAAATGAAATCAGTATCTCAAAGAGATATCTGCATTCCCATGTTCACTGCAACATTATTCATAATAGCCAAGATATGGAAACAACCTGTGTCTATCAATGGATAAAGAGATAAAGAAAAGATGATGTATACAACAGAATATTATTCAGCCAATAAAGGTGAAAATCCTGCCATTTGCAACAATGTGAATGAACCTGGAGGATATTATGCTAAGAAAAAGTAAGCCAGACACAAAAAGACAAACACTGCATGATCTAACTTACATGTGAAATATAAAAAAGTCAAACTCATAGAAACAAAGAGTGGAGGGATGGCTGTCAGAGGCTGGCGTGGGGGAAATGGGGAGATGTTAGTCAAAGGGTACAAACTTTCAGTTATAATATGAACAAGTTCTGGGGATCTAAAGTATCAATACAACATGGTGACCATAGTTAACAAGGCTGTATTGTATACCTGAACTTTGCTAAGAGTAGTTAATTAGCTTGATTGTGGAAATCATTTTGCAATTTGATTTCACAATATGAAATCATGTTGTACACCATAAATATATAAATTTATATTTGTTAATTATATCTCAATAAAATGGGAAAAATTAAAGTTGTTCAAAAAGGGAAAAAATTCCTTTAGGCACTTCTTTTGTCTAAATAGCATATATCTTTTTCTAAATCTAACCTTGTAAAGAACTTCCCAGACTGGAAATTTTCTCAGCCTTTCTTACCAAATTTCTAGAATTTATGCTATACTTCAACAAATATAGCCCCCATCCTCCCTACCCTAGCATTAGAATGCTACCTATTCAGAATAAGGAAAGATTTTTGCAAAAACATACCTACCATTCAAAGTGGACTCTTCTTAAGAAAACTAATATTCAATCCTAGGCCAATTTATGCTGGATGTGCCTGCTGCAAATCCCTTCCCATGAAGTCCAGACACTTATCCAGAATTTTTTATTGATGAAATCCATAGCTTTACTGCCTTTGCTACTGCTCACACTGTCTTCACTTTTCTCAGTCCTTCTCCCCTATTGTACAAATTTGTCTCACTTTTAACCTTTTTAAAATATTTTAATTTTAAACTTATAGCTTGGTGGCACAGAAATTTCAAAAATAAAGCTTCTCTAAGAGAAATAAGATGGAGGACCCAATATCCTCTCTGAAATTCACTCTGCCCACAATCTTGCTCATACCTGTGACCTCTCGGCACTTTAGCAGGAGGAGAAGCCCATAGCTCAGTGTGGTGTTCGTTTTCTCTGTCCCAGCTCCAAACAAATCAGTTACAGTGGCTATCAAGTTTTCAAAAGTAAACTCCATCTGTTGATTGTGCTTTTCCTAGGAATTATATGATGTAATTATCTGACAGTTTGCCAGCATATATAATTACAGTCAATCCAAAACAACACACATTGTTATAAAGCTAAGCAATCTTAGACACTGGAGTGCAGTATTAAAACAACAACTGTACGGTATGGCAAAGTGTGTGGATTGGGCTGACACAATCTCCATTACCTACTCCTTTTCCCTTGCTTGCCTAAAAATTTCATTCCAAGCCTCTTTTCTAGCTACACTGGCCAAGCAACACACTTCTTACCAATGGCCTACTGATGCCAGTTTCTCCCTTTCTTTCTTCATACTCAAAACACAGATATGAAGGTGAAGGTGGTGTAGACATCATCTTGGAACATGAGTGTCTGAGCATGAAGATGAAGCCTATATACTTAAGACTGCTGAAGAAAAATGGAAGGCACTTGAGCATCATGGGATACTTCAGGGCTAGCTCTGAACTGCCCAACATGAGTCTCTATGTGAGATAAATAAACCCACTGTTTCTTTAAGCCTTTGTTAATTTTTTTTCTTATTGATAGGCAAACACAATCTTAATTGATAGAAATGAGCAAATTAGAGCTATATTTTGAAAACCATTATAAGCCAGAATCAAGAGTTTGCAATTCTCTTCTCCCATTGAAGAATTTATGTGGATTCTGTGTTGCCTAAAGACCCATTATGAAGTTGAAAATGTGCAATGGCAGCACATCCTACAATAGATTATCGAGAAAGAGAATGGATTCACAAAGACAAAATGGGGCTGGCCACTACTGTATTCCAAGATATGAGGCAATAGGCAACTTGGTCTAGGAAACAAGTGCAGATGCTAAGGGTAAGGAAGTGACTGAATAAAGCTCTCACAAGTCAGAAGTTGGGAGAGTAAAAGCCCTTCACAGGGACAACTAAGGTTGGTTTAGATGAGGGATATATGTGATTCAAAATTGAAAATAACAATGGGACAATCTGAAATAAAGACTACAGAGGTCATTAACAAACGAAAAAATAATTTCTTCCTATCCAGTCCTCTAGACCAGCACTAATTTAATAAGGCTCTTTGTTTTTTTATAATCCCCAAATGACCTGTGGCATGCCCAATATTATGTAATCCAACACCATTAAGATAGACTTAACCCTATTGACAGTTGTACTTGGTAGAAAAAATAGTCATCCTCATTGGTAACATCAACTTCACACAGTTTTCTAACCTTTTCAACTCAAAATTACTCTGAGGCCAAGAAGGAGAGCAGAGTTCTTATAAACCATTATTACTATTTCCATCTGTTCAAGTGAATTTGAAGCATCAGTGGTTATGTACACATAGCCTATCAAAAGTAAGTTAGCCTGTACAAAACCTTGCTGAAAGAAATTAAAGAAGAACTAAATACGTGGAAATACATCCCATGTTCATCTATTGAAAGACTTAGTATTCTTAAGATGGCATTACTCCCGAACTGACCTACAGATTCAACATGATCCATATCAAAATGACTGTTAGCTTTTTTGCAGAAATTGATGAGATTGTCCTAAAATTCATATGGAAATTTAAGTGACCAAGAATAGATATAACAATCTTGGAAAGAAGAACAAAATTGGAAGACTCACACTTCCCATATAAAAAATTACAATAAAGCTAATCAAGATTGTGTGGTACTGGCAAGGAGCAAGATATATAGACAAGTGGAATAGAATTGAGAGTCCAAAAGTAAACCCTTTACATTTACAACTAATTTTCAACAAAGTTGCCGAGATCATTCTATGTGAAAAGAATACTCTTTTCAACAAATGGTGCTGGGACAACTGGACACCCACATGCAAAAAAATGAAGTTGGACCCATACCTCACACTATTACCAAAAACTGATTTAAAATGGATCATAGACCTAAATATAAGAGCTAAAACTATAAAACTGTTAGAAGAAAACTTGGAGGGAATCATTGTGACCTTGGATTAGATAACAGTTTCTTAGATATAACACCAAAAGCACAGGCAACTAAAGAAAAAGATTAATAAATTGGATTTCATGAACTCGAAAACTTCTTAAATTAAAAACACACTATCAAGAAAGTAAAAGGACAGGGACTCCCTGGTGGTCCAGTGGTTAAGACTCCACACTTCCTATGCAGGGGGTGTGGGTTCAATCCCTGGTCAAGGAACTAAGATCCTACATGCCTGCATGGCATGGCCAAAAATATATATAAAATAAAATAAAATAGGGCTTCCCTGGTGGTGCAGTGGTTGAGAGTCCACCTGCCGATGCAGAGGACACGGATTCATGCCCCAGTCCGGGAAGATCCCACATGCCACGGAGCGGCTAGGCCCGTGCTCCACAACTCCTGAGCCTGTGCATCTGGAGCCTGTGCTCCACAACGGGCGAGGCCACAACAGTGAGAGGCCCGCGTACTGCAAAAAAATAAAAATAAAAATAAAAATAAAATAATTCAAAAAAGAAAGTAAAAAGACAACCCATAAAATGGGACAAAATGTCTGCAAATCATATATCTGATAAGGCACTTGTATCTATAACACTGAAGAACTTACATCTCAACAATTTAAAAATAAAAACAAAAATAAACAAATAGGACCTAATTAAACTTAAAAGCTTTTGCACAGCAAAGGAAACCATAAACAAGATGAAAGAAAACCCTTAATATGGGAGAAAATATCTGCAAATGAAGCAACTGACAAAGGATTAATCTCCAAAACATACAAACAGCTCATGCAGCTCAATATCAAAAAAACAAACAACCCAATCCAAAAATGGGTGGAAGACCTAAATAGACATTTGTCCAAAGAAGACAAACAGATGGCCAAAAAACACATCAAACGATGCTCAACATCACTAATTATTAGAGAAATGCAAATCAAAACTACAATGAGGTATCACCACACACCCGTCAGAATGGCCATCATTAAAAAATCTACAAACAATAAATGCTGGAGAGGGTGTGGAGAAAAGGGAACCCTCTTGCACTGTTGGTGGGAATGTAAATGGATACAGCCACTATGGAGAACAGTATGGAGGTTCCTTAAAAAACTAAAAATAGAACTACCATATGACACAGCAATCCCAGTCCTGGACATATACCAGGAGAATACCATAATTCTAAAAGACACATGCACCCCAATGTTCATTGCAGCACTATTTCCAAGAGCCAGGAATGGAAGCAACCTAAATGTCCATCAACAGAGGAATGGATAAAGTAGATGTGGTACATATATACAATGGAATATTACTCATCCATAAAAAGGAACGAAATTGGGTCATTTGTAGACATGTGCATGGACCTAGAAACTGTCATACATAGTGAAGTCAGAAAGAGAAAAACAAATATCGTATATTAACGCATATATGTGGAATCTAGAAAATGGTAAAGATGATCTTATTTGCAAGGCAGAAATAGAGACACAGGTGTAGAGAACAAATGTATGGACACCAAGGGGGGAAAGGGGGGGTGGGATGAATGGGGAGATTGGGATTGACATATACACACTATTGATTCTCTGTATAAAATACATAACTAATGAGAACCTACTATATAGCTCAAGGAACTCTACTCTATACTCCAATAAAAATTAATTAAAAAAAAATAATAGCCAAATTCAAAAATGGTCAAAGCACTGAAATAGACATTTTTCCAAAGAGATACATAAATGGCCAACAAGCACATGAAAGATGCTCAACATCATTAGCCATCAGGGAAATGCAAATCAAAACCACAAGGAAAGACCACTTCACACCTACTAGGATGGCTAGAATCAAATGGACAGATAGGACTTCCCTGGTGGCGCAGTGTTTGAGAGTCCGCCTGCCAATGCAGGGGACATGGATTCGTGCCCCGGTCCGGGAAGATCCCACATCCCACATGCTGCGGAGCGGCTGGGCCCGTGAGCCATGGCCGCTGAGCCTGCGAG